CTAATTTTTTGCAGGTATATTTAGAAATACATCTACTTTAAGGTGACGGTAAAACTTTTATAAAGTATAATTCAATTTTTTTTCCAAAAATTTATAAAAATATTTAAAAATAAGTCATAAAAATATAGTTGAATTTTATTTGGAATGAACCTAAATTTCCAACTGTGAAAGAAGGAATCAAGTATGTGTAATAAAAAAGAGACATACCAAATTGAATTAACATTGAGGAGCTAAAATTTTGAGAGCTAATTGTTTAAAAAATACTCGTGCGATTTTTACAAAACTTGGCAGTTTGGGATAATTTGAGTCGTAGAATCAAAATATGGAAACAAACATTGGCATGTCATTTTAGAAAAAGTCCAATTTCGTGTCAAAATACCTATATTAGAACAATGCTATATATAAATATAATACATACCCTAAGTCGCACTTTCGAGACATGGAAAATGCAATTTGAATTTCATCAATCGGACCAGTAGAACGGAAGATGTAGAACTGTCCCCCCCCTTTTTTTTGCGCAGTATACTTCTGATTATTAACAAATTTTATAATTAATAGCGAAAAATGAAACGTTATGTTAATTTTCTGAATCATCGGAATGGAAATACATTGCTATGAAAGTGGAACTTTCTATCATTTATCGGTATGTTACTGCAAACTATGCAATCAAAAGTTTACGATCTTGACGATAGCAAACTTCTGTTTCATTATCAAAAATCACCCATATCAGCTGAAAACACTATTAGATGGCTTCTGGAGCGAAAGAATATTCATTTACATTCAGATACATCGTGAGAAAATTAAATTATTTATCTGATTACAGTCACACGCAAGGTCCTTGTCTCGGCCTGTACTTGTAATGGTTTTAATTGTTTTTATTAAGAAGAAAAGCAATTTCTCACTTGATAAATATGTGCATGTCTTCATGATTGTGATGAATATCTGCCTTTTCAAGTACAAAGATCATCGGAATGGAAATACATTGCTATGAAAGTGGAACTTTCTATCATTTATCGGTATGTTACTGCAAACTATGCAATCAAAAGTTTACGATCTTGACGATAGCAAACCTTTGTTTCATTATCAAAAATCACCCATATCAGCTGAAAACACTATTAGATGGCTTCTGGAGCGAAAGAATATTCATTTACATTCAGATACATCGTGAGAAAATTAAATTATTTATCTGATTACAGTCACACGCAAGGTCCTTGTCTCGGCCTGTACTTGTAATGGTTTTAATTGTTTTTATTAAGAAGAAAAGCAATTTCTCACTTGATAAATATGTGCATGTCTTCATGATTGTGATGAATATCTGCCTTTTCAAGTACAAAGATAAGCAACTACAGCTGATACTGAAGATGGTGCACTCTTAGAAAGGGGTGAAATTGTATTGTTAATTTCTCTATCTTTAGGTAATTTCATGGAGCCATACATGATGTAATCAAGGCTGAATACCAAACAAAATCTTGTCCTATGATTTCCGGCATTAAGTTATGATCTATTGTTATGTTATGTCTGTGACGATTTGATTTTGCTTTAACTAAGAAGTTATTTTAAATATTTTATTTAATTGACTGATACATCGTGAGCCCTTTTTTCCTTCAGTCTAACATGTGCTGTTAGTCAGTTACTTACATTTTTCCTTCAGTCACGCAACTCGTTCTTTCCAGAAAGTAGATTTTTAAGTGACAATCGTAGGTATATAAAATTCTTAATCGAACCACAGATGTGAGTGAGCGAACGAGAAACTTCTGAGTATCGAATTAGCTGTTGACGAACGTCTCGCAGTAAAAGCTGTTTCGTACTGAATAGGTTGTAAAGATTATGTTAATTTTATTAACAATTAAATTTTGAGTTAAACTTCCTTTCCTATGCCTTCTTAATTTCAACTTGCCACTTCCGGCCAGAACCTAGTTTTAGAATCACGTCTGAATGCTGATGAGGAAAAGCGGTATTTAACCGGGAAGTTCTACTGTCTTAGTAAGAGAGATACATGATATTCTGCCTAGCACGCGTCCGCCTTTTTAGGCTACTCTCTCGTAAGGTATTATTACGCTCGGCCGTACTTTAGACCCTTCATACTTCGCAGTCAATTAATTAGCGTTAAGAGGAAAACTCTGTTAGAGTTTTGATAGCTTCGACTATATGTTTTTTAGTTAAGATTAGTTAAGTTTATTCCTTAGTATCTTAAGTTGAAGCCCGAATGTCGGCTTTATTGTGCAACTCCACGGCGGAGTTTTGTTAAACTTTAGTTGGAATTATAAAGGGTTATTTCACCCTTCTCCCTTGTTGTTTTCTACCTCACGAACTCGAGAGATTATTCGCTTACTAGTTAAAATTCTTCACATTCATCTGTAACTTAGTAGTACACAATGGAAAATCCTACAAGGCATCCAAATGATAAATTGTAATTGAACTTTTAAACACTTTAGTATTTCCTAGGAATAGTGCATTTGCTATTAATCTGAACCCCGAATCTCATTGAGCTTAAATTTTATTCTACATTCAGTTACTAGTCAAGTTACTTTTGCCTTTCTAGTTAAGACTTCAAGTAGAGACTTCGAAAATTTAATTTGATTTTATTCAGTGTTTTATTCTGAATGAACTTCCTTACCACTCCCTTCATGAAATTTTGTGATACTGGATCTGTTTCACACCTGTTAGAATTCAGGCATACCTATAAAGTGATTTTGCTGTGCACAAGTTACATCAAATTTTAAGGTGGGTCAAATTTTAAGGGTTTAAGTCTTGCAATTATAATTATGCGCGAAATATAGGACTTCCTGCAATTTAATGAAAAATATCTCCACATTATTTATAATGTAAGATTTACTGCAATGAGTGCAGGAAATCAGGTTTCCAGAAACTTAGTTGTAAGTGACTTTGGGCACCTTATTTGCTCTATAATAATTCCTACAAAACACTTTTTACAGTCTTAATATGAGTATTTAGATTTGAAAATTCATTATCTCCAAGGCAATAAGTGAGCACTATCTTGGTATTTACCAGATGGATGGTGCATATGAAAAAGCGAAGAAGAAATGACAATTTTTTTTAAAGCAGTTCCTCAAAGGAATGTTTGTAAGTGGTTAACATGCGCGAATATATTATCCAAAGTAGACTGCAAATCACTCTTCTTCATTTAAATGTCTAAAACAATGCAGCAGTTATTAGACTAATATTATACTTCATAAGACTACGTTAAATTTGCCAACCCATGACATAGTGATATGTAATATCATACTGAATCTGTTTTGTTTCATATACGAAAAACTATTTTATTTATTTAATAAAACATAGAAGTTCTTGTGCATACTATACTTGATTCTCCATAAGAGCATTTAAGTTGTTCACTGATAATAGGTGCATTTAGCTAACAAACGAAATGTGTTTCTAAAGCTGCATTTTTTATAACTGGTATGGAATCATGTTTCTCTTAATTTTCATAATGGTATATATTTTTTAGTTTTCATTTGCAAACTCTTTATCAAGGTTTTAGATTGAAATCTGATCATCTAGTCTTGCAATTTCTTTCACTTAATGGTACATTCCTCCCTGACGTGTTAGCCTGTAATATGATGTTTTCAGAACGCAAGGTTTCCTCCTCCCTCCTTCCCGTTGTTGTTACTATTCCTCCCGCTTGAAATCTTCTCGCTATGCGTGTGTCTGATAATTCCGAAAAAGGGAGTCAACAGCAACATTAGTCTAGGAATCATAATGAACAACAGCAGAATTTAAATCGTGAAAGAATTAACACACTTGGGATTTAGGATATGTATATACTGACTTCGATACCTAAGACTGACTTCGATTCACCACGTAAAGAACTCAAGCAATGTACTAGTCACACTGCCTATAAACTTCCAAGGAAACAATTGGGGACTAAATTCGCACATTTAAGACTCTCTATTCAACTGTCATAGAAAGAGTCGTTACATATGCTGCTCCATTCTGGTTTTTTTTTTTTTTTTTTTTTTAATAAAAACATAGCACACAGCATTTTAAACATAACAGCACATCTTGTGGTTAACAAAAAAAGGTACCACATGTGACGCTGAATTTAAAGTAATAGTCAAATTTAAATTAAAGCGTAGGTTAGTATTCTAAGACTACATAACTATATTTATATTTAAGTTGACTCCAATATTCTCACCGGAGTAACAATTTAAATGGCGGCAGCTATAACACAAAGCCGAATGACTATAATCTTATCAGAACTGTCAAAACTAAGTAGCGTGGCTTCGAGAGGCAGAACACGCTCTGCCTTACAATCCAGAAAATCTCACCCTAAATATTCCCTAAAACCATTCACATTTCTGGTGAGAAAAGGGAAAGAAGTAAAGACTGAAATTATAAATAACTTGTTAATTTAAAAAATAAATGCTACCTTCTCACATGATCTCATTTTATTACTGAATGTTCTAAGAAAACGTTTTAGTTCCTAATTCGAAAACTTTTTATGCTATTTATTTAAAAACCCTAAAGAAAATATGGATTACAGTAAGTATTCTATTAATAAGTCTTTGGACAGTGATTTAACATTTCTGATATTGTGAAGCCTGTAATTTAAAAACAAACACAGGATTTTCAATTTAATTTTCAATACATTTAGAATCGTCTGTTCCTAGAATTACTGATCTTAGCAAACAAACATTTAAATTCAGCAAAGTATACAGCAGGATAGCGTATAAGTTACTATCTAAGTGTCCCTTTTAACTTTTAGTGTTGTTTTGTGTAACTTTTAGCTAGATGACATCTTTTTAAGCTTAAAACATTAAATAACCAATACATTAATGAACGGTTAAACGTAAAATGTTAACAAACGATTAAAGAGCGTAATATATGCAAACTTCGTCAGAAGTAGGAATTTCACAAACAGGATCTTGGCGAGTATTAACTCAGCTGCTAGAAAATAGGAAGAGTTTACGTCAAATCTTTTTTTTTTTTTTTCCTTCTTTCTTTTAGTCTTCAGAACTGATTATGTAACATCTTGACGCTGAAGCTGTAAACCAGTCACTGAAACAACTTTGCTTACGCAAGGACTTTCTCCTCGACATTTCAGCTGATAGTGAGTTAATATCAAAGTGATCTTTGTTTCTTTTTTGCAAAACTTTTTATTCATCTTTTTATTTAAATTCATGTTTATCATTATATGTTTATCTTCACTACGCCATTTGATATATATAATGAAATATGATTTTAAAAGACGTTTGTTACCTAACAGATGAAGTAATAATACGTGCGCTTCTAAAGAAAACGGTAAGTAAGTAAAAGTTATTTTGTCCGCTTTTAGAGGATGTACTCTATGGTTATTATTAGAGAAATAGTTTACCATGATTTTTAAAATAATTTTTGATGATCAATATTGCATACCTGATCTATAGATGCGAAAGTGAAATTAAATATGCAAATATAGCTGTATTATTGAAAATACTTAATATCAGTGCAAATGTACTTACTAAGGAATACACAAATAATTTTTTCATATGTTTTTGTTTAATGCTAAAAATATTTGAACAGGCATAGAATTCTTTTTTATCACTTTTTGCATCTCTACATCTGAACTTTCTTATCATTCCTTTTATCTTCATCAGTAATGGCCAGCTGATGCCCTATCATTATATTTATAACTACTAATCATTAATTTTTTTTTAAATCTTTGGTTGCTTTTTCCCCTTTTTCTTGTCATTGTCAAATATTACTAAATATATATATATAATAAATTCAATAAAGAAAGTGAATAACATTCTGCCAAATACATCAATCATTACGGTAGATAAAAGCTGCGTGTCATTTTAATTGCGTTGATTAATTATTTATATACTTTATTTGAAAGAAACATCCAATAAAAGTGCAGTAATCCTTTGATTCCAATATTATTTTCTGCCATACATTTACAAATAACCATTTCTAAAACTTCTATAATGCATAGCATAGATTACTATTCATCGAATCACTATTGATATATTAAAGCTGTATTTTTCATTCAGAGAAAATCTAAGCATCTCGATAAATCACTTCAGATTACATTGTTTAGCCATTATCATTACACCTTTTAGAATATAGTCAACAAATATGCTTCAAGTTATCTCAGATAATATTTAGTTTATGTACTTTCAGCTACAAAATCTCTCTAATGGATTAACTTATAAAAAACTGTTATTTTTCCGTGGTATAAATATACTAACATCCTATAAAATGATGTTAAACTTTTACTTCATTATAAAGAATTTTTATTATATTATTTTTTAGAAAGAAGAAGCATTTTTTTAACATTGCTTGAAATAAATTTTAGGTATTGTGTGCCTTCCACTTTGAAATGGAATCCAGCACTTTACCTGACGATTCAGCATTCTTCCCGCTAGAGCTCAACATTTTGACGGAAAAAATGATTCATAAAGCAAAAGACGAGCTCGGAGAGACAAAGCAAAAGAGAGAGGAATGTCTGGAAGAATTTAAGAAAATGATCAGAAGTAAGATTTTATAAATAAACTTGCATATGAATATGATACATTCTTTTATTAGAAATAATGCTGCAAAATATGCTGTATTCCATTAAGCTTATAAACCGCAAATATACTTTCTCTAACACATACATGTCAGCGCTGTCTCAAGTTGTTTAAATCCCTGCCTATTAATGGCAAGATTCATAATGTAATATGCATAAATTGAATCAAAATCTAACATGTTAAATTTGTTTATATCTACGAGTATTGTTAAAATTGCGCATAAATATTCAAACACTTTCGAAGTTTTTCTTTCAGGGTTATTTGAGCAAATACTTTATTTTTATTTTATGAATATTGAAAAGTTTTATTTCTCTGTAAGATTTGCATGCTTTCCAATTTCCTGTTCATTACCATCTTTTTCCTTTTCGTAACTTCAAATAAAAAAAAAGAAATTCAAATTGTGAAATTCAGTAAAATTTTACTTTTAATTTTTTATTGTCAGTCTTCCTTTACGAATTCTAAAAAAAATTATATTTACTTTTAGAATTTTTGTTTGCGTTACTTAATATTTGCTCGTAAAATGTAATATATAGAATATATTTGGCATCTGTAAATTTAAATGACTTTGCTCGTTCAAAGGTTTGCTAAACGGACATTTAGTAGCTCTGAAATAGCTATTAACATAGAAATGTATTTTATTGAAATATAAAAGTTTAAAGCTACGTATGGTGAGGTTTCGCCTAGCTAATGGATTCATCTAGATTTCGAGTCAATGACTACTTCTAGTCAGCAAGTTTCCATATTCTTTCCTAGACTAGTCTACTACTATATTTTGTTATCTATTTTCCTTCTAAAAACAGTATTTCATAGCACATATATAGGTAGGAAAATATATAGTGTATTAAGTCACATCTTCTACTGCTCTCTATTAAATCAAAACTTGTACTATTTTCTGTCAATATAACTCTTTTAAAATTCACTTTTAATTAAAATACTGCATAAATAAATGGAGACATAAATAAAAGTAAAACATAAGTACACATCTACAGTGATACCTTTCTTCATAATTAACAATCAGTATAATTGATTGTAGTTAATCTAATGAGCAAGCTTGACTGCGTAATGATTGTGTTTAGCTTATGTTTCACTAAATTAAATTCCGTTTTGCAACTAAATCTCGATTTTTATCTTGATATTTCTGTTTTTGTATACTACTTAGACTTTTAAATCGTATCAAGTTTTTAATACTTTTTTATATTTTATATTTATATACAGTTTATCTTTTTATTTTAGCTTACTTCACTAAAACGCAACTTTTACCTTGAAATTTCGTCGACACTTAGAGCAAAATTGCTTGCAGATTTTATTTCTGTTATAGAATAACTTATATTTTAAGTGCAATAGAACTCCAGATATCTAAATCCTTCACACTCAACGGATTTTCATTTCGGCCCGCATACATACGTCTGCTAAGTTATACAGGCCGCAACTTGGTATAACATACCTCATAGTTTAATAATATAAAAAGAGAAAATAAATTTTAATGTTTCCAAATATTTATATTAATATGAATTAATCTGAGGGATTAGCCATGGGAAGCCCCCTCAGTCCCATTCTGGATGATATCTACATGCATTATTACGAATCAAAATTGTTTGATACTTTAAACTTCCCGTTATGGTTCCGCTAAGTAGACTACACTTTTACCCTGTTTGAAAGTAATAAAGATGATTTAATTAAAGTTCCTTTAACAATGAATTCCATTGATCCTGTTATTCAGTTCACTTTTAAATTTGAGACCTGCAATTATCTTCCATTTCTCGGCATTCTGGTCACAACTTCAGTACTACGGTTTACCGTAAACCATCCAACTTCAGTACTACGGTTTACAGTAAACCATCATCGGTTTGCCTTCCACCACACTTTAAATCATGTCATCCGACAAAATAAAAGTTAGCTTCATTTTATTCCTACGTTTTCCGTGCTCTTTAAGTTTGCTCCACCAAACTATCCCTTGATGAAGAACTAAATTATTTAAAAGAAATAGCTATTGACAGGGGCTTTTCACCCAACATTATTATTTAAAAGTAATAGCTATTGACAGGGGCTTTTCACCCAACATTATTAATCAAGCAGTTAAAAAATTCTCATCTCAACACACTGAAAGGCACACTCTTGTTTTAGGAGATTATAAAAATTCTGTTGTCATTCCCTTCTTTCCATCAATTAGCTATAAAGTTGCACATATTTTGCAGAAATTTAACTTTCGGCTCGTTTATTCTTCCAGCAATAATATTCCAAGGTTCATACTCAAGGACCCCATTCCGGATATGAATTCCTGGGGTATTTACATGATTCCTCGCCAGTGTGGCTTAATTTACATTGGCCAAATTAAAAGCCTTAAAATTTCTCATTAAGGAACATGACGTATATGTTAGAAAAAAGGAAAAACAGAGATCTTCTGTTGCCCAACATTGTTGGTCCGAAAATCACACTTTCAATTTTTCTGCTGCCAAAATTATTCAAAAACATCTTCAGTTGGTTAACTGGATTTTCTAGAGGCATTTCACATTCAAAAAAATCTTTCTGTTCTATTTAACGACCCTAATTCCAATCCATCTTTGCCTTCAGCCTTTAAAGAAATTATGTTTTAGTTCTGGTTTCATCAACAGATGGCGCCAGTGGCTTACCTCCTATCCAGGCTTCCTTATCTTATCTTATCTAATCATTATATCTTATCTTGTTCATTTGCGCTTTTGCAGCTGAGGATGATGGTTCGGTAAAACCGTCGAAACTAGTCCTGTGAAAATTTAAAAATATAACGCTGATTTTCGTTGTTTGACTTCTAAATTAATATTTGTTCGGCGTGTATCTTAATCGGTCTCTGGTTAGCGCAGCATATATATATATATATATATAGTTTTGTTGCTCGCAATTGCAATACAAAAGGGAGGTGCACAACTAGACGTTATAGCAGTCCCATATACAAAATTTCAAAGTTCTACTGATAATCATTTTTGAGTTGTACGAGATATATGCGTACGCACAGATGTCACGAAAAAATACATTTCACATCCATTTTGGAAAAGTCCTTTATGCTGTCAATAGAGACAGAACTCTAGACATAGATCCGCCTCAAGGATTTTTAAACAAATGACTCTCGCGGTTGTGATATCTATGGTCCAATGGCCCTCGTCCAAGCAAGCGCAACCTCTGCAATCCTCGCTCGGCTTTATACAAAGCATTGGGCAAAGCTATAAAAACGAAGAGAATTTGATTACGCTAGTCATCTTGCCTCCGGCCACCACTTCATCGGCAACATACTCTATAGGGTGCTCTGTCCCCGTCACGAGAACCGAATGGAATCAAACACTCTAGGACTTGGTCGGTGATCTCCGATCTAGCTCCACAACAGCCAAAGGAACGGACACGACGGTATCAGTACAGTCCCTGCCAAGGACGGTACCAGTACGGTCCCTGCCAAGCCTGAACCAATCTTCGAATGAACTTATGCTCTAGTCCTGTGAAGGCTGATTATATACCCCTGCGGTTGAGACTGCCTAAGTACAAATCCTAGTTAGTACTTCCCAGGAATTCTGAGTCAATCCCCGGAGATCGTCAGTAGGGACAGTCGTTAGGAAAAAAAAAAAAAAAAACAGTCAAAATGGAATCAGGAACGGTTAAAATGGATATTTCCGTCGAAATATGATACCCGAAATTTTTTCGCTATTGCAATACTTTCTATAAAGAAGTAAAAAAAAAAAAAAAAGAGCCAGAACTTCCGATTATCCATTTCATTAAGGGATTAAGGTATTCAAAAGAAAGTCGCTCTAATTACTGTTGACTTCTAAAACGTTTTTAAATTTTCTGTGATTCAGTTCTAATCTAACGTAAATAAATTCACAGTATTTTATTACATGTGTCGTCACAGTTTCTAAATCAGGCACACAGACACGTGCTATGGACTTTGTGAATGGTGAATAAGAGATTTGTTAAATCATATTTTGCTTTTAATAAGGAAATAAATCCATTTTCCCCATCATTAATGAAAACTCATATATGCGCACACGCACACTAATTTCTTACACCAATAGAATTCTTTTTCAGAAATCTATTAATAGTTTTGAACCTTTGGAGTGATGCTTTATCGAAAGAAATTTAAAAAAAAAACTTTCTTGAACATTGCTCACAATAGCGTGTAACGAAATAAAAAAACACTTGTAATAAATTTCATAAAAAATAAAAACATGCAATAAATTTCATTCATTTCTTGTCACCGCTATACACTGGTGTGCAAAAATTAAAGACGAAGTCGAAAAATTAGCATATCAGCTGAACGAAGAGGCAGAGCGGACAGAAAGACCAATCAGGAGATTAAGTAAGGTGATGTACGGTAGCACATGCGCAGATATGCAGGTAGACGTAATGGGGGAGTGTCTGAGTAGTATAAAGCATGTTGTCGGTGTAAGATCAGTATTTCTGGCAAAGAGATTGCACGCCATATAGCAGTTAAAATCACACCGAGTTGCTGCCTCAGCGAGAAATGGCGAATAATCAATCTGTTAGACGACATCTGGATGCTTTTACCCGAGGTCGAATCATTGGGAAGTTGGAGGAAGGCCGCAGTGTGACAAGTGTGGCTGCAGAGTTCGGAATTGCTCACGGCATCGTTTCACGACTTTGGAGACAATTTCAAACTACAGGAACAACTATCCGGGGGTTTAGTAGTGGTCGTCCACGAGGAACCACACCCGCAGATGACCGGTATATTGCCTTACAGGCCAGAAGAAACAAGCGGAAGACAGCGGGAGAAATCTCTAGACACACGACACAGGCGACTGGACGACCGATATCGCGTTTTACCGAGGCCAGAAGACTGCACGGTGGTGGTCTGTTTGCACGACGCCCTGTACGGTGTGTACCTCTAACGCCTGCCCATCGGAGAAGGCGTTCTCTGTGGTGCCGGGAACACCGGAATTGGAGAGACAATGAATGGAGACGAGTACTCTTTACAGATGAGAGCAGATTCAGTCTGAGTAGCGATTCTCATCGCATACTCATCTGGAGAGAGAGGGGAAGCCGCAATCATCCCTCGAACATCATTGAAAGGGACAGGTATGGAGGTGGCAGTGTTTTCGTTTGGGGAGGCAGTTCCTTTTCATGGACGACAATGCACCATGTCATCGCACAGTAGCTGCCGAACAGCTCTTAGAGAGTGAGGATATTGAACGTATGGATTGGCCGGCACGATCTCCGGACCTCAATCCCATCGAGCATGTATGGGATTTTCTAGGCAGACGCTTGGCAGCTCGTACCTTACCACCAGTAACGATTCCGGAGCTTCGATTGGCGCTGCAAGACGAATGGGCAGCAATGCCTCAACAACTCATTGACACCCTCATTCTCAGCATGGGCAGACGCTGTGAAACCTGCCTAGCCAGTCAGGGGAAATCATATCCGTGCTACTTTTTCAATAAAGCTTCTTTTTATCCCTCTGATTTCTCTTTTAGTAAGTGTTGCTTACATTACTCATGTCATTACGTATTGGGGATCTTACGGTATTAAATGTGTTGATTTGGAAAGCTTTTGTACAAAGTTATATTGAAAAAACCGTCTCGTCCTTAATTTTTGCACACCAGTGTATGTCGTGAAATTGACATCTATTATATTTTAATTACACATCGTATTTATCACTTATAAGATTTTTTAAGAAAGTTAATTTTTCATTGCTTATCAAAGACTTGCTAGGAAAAGTGTCAATAATGATTTATGTTTCATTCACAGTAAAATAATAGAAATTAGAGTAATGTAAGTGCTAAACATAGACGTAACAACACATTTGTAATTGATCGTACAAGATTAATTCGGATCTTGACAACATGAATCGTGTATCCACATTCATGTATTCGGCATTGATCAGTATTTTAATAGTTGTACCAGGAGCGTCAAAAAATTAAAACTTTTCAAGATACATAAAACCTGAGCATGCGTTTGAGAAACTGAAAACTTTTCTATAGCGCATGCCACTCGCAATATTTGCGTCCATAAACTGTACTTAAATTTCGTTTGGGGATGCATATATAAGCTCATATACAAATAATTATGTTGTTGTTTTATCTGTAAGACAAATGCGTATTTATTATGATGCAAGCAAAAGGAATTACTTTTTTCTTCATTTTTGGCTCATCCTATTTTGTTTCAATAAGAATATACATTCAAAAAGAATAAAATATTTGTATTTCCGTTGAATAAAATGCAAAATGGACTTATTTCAAAAATTTAAATTATGAAATTATGTTTACAAACCTTCATTTGACTTTGTCCCTCTGTGAGGGATTACCCCTCTCCGGGAGTATGTTTTGTTTTTTGTTTGGACCAAATCTTAAAATCAAATATTGACTAGCTTCTATTGAACAGATTTTTTTTTATTTTGCACAAACTTGTTTACAATGAAAAAACAGTATTTTTCGGAAGTTCGTTTTGTCAATGTAATGCAGAATTTTTAATGGCAAAATTTTCACGTGTGTATTTGTTTAATGATCAGATCCATCATCGCAGTGTTTCAATTCTTTCGTTATCGGAGAGACTATAAAACAACCTTCCAGCTGAAATTTATTGATAATTTTTAGAGCAATTTATAAATTCTTAGCTTTTTTTTTTCAAAACTGATTAACGGTGGTCTGCTTACAATGATGGAATTTAAATCTAAACTGTCCAAGAAATATTTAAACGCATTATATATAATCTTACACCATTGTATAGATCGCAAGACCTGAATAGAAAGGTGTCATCACGTCTTCGTTAGTACTGATTAGGGAAATAGTTTTCCTATGATTTCAGGTAGCGGTTGCCTTTCTTTATTACTTTTTATTCCTTCTATGGTAAATTGTTTAAATAAAGAACAAAAAAATTCATTCATTTAGATCATTATGTCTCATATTTTAGTTATCAAAATATGTCACTGTGACTAAAAATAAAACCGAGAGGCGTCTAAAAAGTAAATATTTTTGGATATTAACAGAATTTTAAGGAACAAGAGAACTGTACCATGATAGAGACATGCTTGTATTCATTTCATCTAAATTTCTTTTGAAAGTATTGATTTAAATCCAGAATTGTTACCAGTTTCATATTTAATCATACATGACTAAGAGTATTGTGATAGTTAGGAAAACTATTTTATACTTTTGCTTCAAATAGAGTAGCCTAATTTTTTTATATTTATGTTTATTTAGGTAAAGATAGGATCCAGTTCTATTTTGAGCAAAATAAAAAAATTATTTTATATTAAGTGTCTCAAAATTAAAATTAATTCTATTTTTATATTTATTGAAATCAAAGTATACAAGAAAATTACTTTTTATAAAAATCGGAGTAAATCAATACTTCGAACTTATTTCTTTTTATCTAAAATTAAATAAACTGTTTGTTAACCGTGTTTGTTTAGTGTGTTTTAAAAAGGCTGCATTTTGTGGCTATACAATGACTCGCAGTGTCAAGAAATATATGCATACATACGAGCATAACCGCTTTTCTTTCAATGGTTATATAAGCAAATGATATATGGTGACATGTTATTTTAAACCTGCATCTTTCTTAAACAATATACACTTTATATTATTTTATCTTCTGTGCATTACTTAAATAAATTTAAAAGATTAAAGTGCATAACGAAATATCATGTTCCTGTCTTGCAGATTCCTTTATGCTTCAAACTTCCATGCTTTCGTGCAGTTATTATCCCTTTCTTCCCCTTCTTTCAAAACTAAAATCGGCTTTCTGGCCTTCTTTTCTGGAAGGAAAGTTTTCCGAATATTGCTGCATTAAAAACAACAGTCTCGCTACAGTGATTCTCAAAATTTGACTCTTTTACTGTACACAATAATATTAAATTATTTCTCTGGCGTAAATCTTGTCAATGTTTGGATATTTATCAACGCTTTCCTTGCAGAGGAAAAGAATTTGAATGCCAACACATGTAACGAATTCCTCCTGATTTTTTTGAGGGCAAAAAAGTTCAGGCTTGATGCGGCGTTTAAAGTTTTGAAAAAATATTACTTAAACAGGAAGACCTATTTAAGCCTATACGAGAAATTTTCACCTGAGCATTGTCGTGAAGTTCTACAAGCCAATTTTTTGAACTTTTTGCCTTTAAGATCACCTGAAGGAGCATCTGTCTGGGTACCAAGAATAGGTAAGGGATAGAGGTATACAGTTTATTACAGTATAGTTATTATAGTTATATACTTTATTTATAGTTACTGTATTATCGTTATGTATTGCTTGTCTCCATCAATATTTCGTAACCAAAATTATAGTCTCTGTTGCAATTAGAAAATATTTGTTGCGTAAATAATCCAGTAAAAATAAAAATAAAAAGATAACGTAGAAAAGAGCGATAATGAAAAAAAAAAAAAAAGAAACTTGCATGTTGGGTCTTCAAATTTTAGTTTATAAATACTGTTGTTGAAGAAATATATATAAATTCTGCAGATATTGTCAATGTATCGTAGGCATTTAGTATTTAAATAATGCAGACACAATTAGTAATACTGAAATCATTTCAGTGTCGGATTAAGCATTTAGCGGGCTCTAGAAGAAATTTAAATTGAGGTTCCATTTAGGTATGTTTTTACTTCCTTGTACGAAGTAAAAAGGAAGTATTGTATTCGCAAAAAGTTTCAGGCAGCATATTTCAACGAAAATATCCATTTTGACCGCTATCGAATGCAATTTAACACGATGTTTTTGCGTGATATCTGTACGTAAGGACAGAATAAAAGACTCTTTTTCCTTCAAAAAAATTATAAAACTGCTTTAAAAAATTAATTCTGAAGAGAATTTTTTCGTGGCGTCTGTACGAACGTATGTACGTACGTGTCTCGCATAACTCAAAAACGAGTTTTGTATATAGGACTGCTATAACATGCAGATGTGCACCTCGTATTCTGGTTGCAATCGGCCGCACCAAACGTATATAAATATGTTTATATATATACGTTTTACTGTTACCCGGCTCAGTGATCTCAGTTTCTTTACTATTATATGTTTGTGAATTGTACATTTTTTGCTTTAAAAATGATTGTGTTATGTTATTTTTATCTTCCGGTTAAGGTTTTTATGCCTTTAGTAAATCTGCATGGAATATTTTTAGAATTATCAACAATTTTAAAGTTGTCTAAGTGCCGCTAAGCCTTTTTTTTTTATGGCTGCCATTGATGTTTACATTTGAAACTGGAGACTAGTGGATTTGTTGCTAATCTAGAGAAACTTAACTTTGCAACAATAAAGATAACGCATTCATTTATTATTGCCAATTAAATCATGCTTAATTCTTTCTGGAATTTTTTCGAGGAAATAAGTGTTTCGGATTTACTTCGTAATTTTTAATGTAGATATTTTGAATTTTATGTATTTTTGCCTTCTCGCGAAGTGAGAACTGAATTAATTAAATGAGAAATACTCAATCGTCTGTGAAAAACTGTTTCTTTTTTGTTTTGTTTGCTTAATTTCTTTTATACATCATTCTAGCTTTATTATAGTATTTGAATAGAACATGTGGCAACAATTAGATAATTCTATTCTTTAAATGATATAAAATTTGTGCCTTATGAGTTATAATATGAACGAAATATATAAGTTAACTGTTATATAATTATTGGATTATATAACAGTTAACTTAGTTTCCGTTATATAATTATTATATAAGTTAACTGTTATATAATTATTAATACTGTTAAGTGAATCTATGGTAAACAAATACTAGAGTGAATTTTAAAGAATGCATTTATTCTATTGTGGTTTATGCGCTGTCGGCGAAGTAGATTTAATTCAATCCAATAAGTTTAAATGAAATGCAAGAAAAAATACGTATAATTTAATATTCCGTACAAGGAAGTCATGTGGTGTACACATCAGATTTTTTCTAAATCAATGTTAAATGTCACTTAATATTTTTTAATTATACAGAATATAAACACCGATGTATTAATAATATTAATTAATATATTAGTTTTTAATGATTTTGACTCCTTTTAAAACAGAGAAAGATCTCTCTCCTGTTGCATTATTCAAAGATATAATTTAAGTCAATTCTTGACACTATTTCAGCTTTCGGAAAAGACGAAACAATGCTGCTACTTTTTATGAACTTATAAATAATCGTTCGGACTGCTCAAATTTTATTTTCGCGCCATTAAAATAAATTATTGCTGTCTAAACGTTCAGCACGAATGTCACTGTTTTATGGCTCTTCCTACGACAGATTATTACCTTTTTAATTCTTGTTTTAATAAGATATTACTTCTCGGTTAATAATTATTTTAGTAGTATAAGACATGAGTTTAAAAGGTTTGTAAATTTGAATTTTTGTATTAGTAAATTACATATTTTAGCATTATACCTTAACTTTGAAAAAGCGAATGTATTTAATTTGAAATTTATATTTTTTAGTAATTTTATTATTTTTTTCGTATAACTTTTTTTTTTTTTTTTTTTTTTTTTATTACTGAATATGAAAGGAAAATGACTGTGTAGAAGAGCCACTCACAATCAGACTCAACTGAATCAGATTTTAACTGTATTCCTTTTCCGTTTTTTTATGTCAAGCCTTTGAATGGGTTGGATCAAAATTATTTACTCTGTTAGTCTTTAATTAATTAATAATTTTTCAGTAGCATTTTGCGCAGAAATAATTTTAAGATCTTTTTGTTTAAAAATTTCTACAATACATATATATATATATATGAATTCTAATTCTACATTTTTAAGTTTTTTGAAATTTTTTATTTGAATTTCAATTTTGGTGTTTGGGAAAAATTGGTTCTAAATTTCTTTATGTATATATATTTACATATTTGAACTATTTTGTCAAAGTCTTGCTATTTCATGTATTTCGTATCCATTTTGCTACAAATTTTATCATAAATAATATAGAATTAATTTATTTCAAAATCTACTTCACCAGTTAAATTAGTATTTTCACCTTTTTGGTTTCCATCAAAAAACATTTACATTTTATAGGTCGTTTTTGAATATTAACGTAAAATATGACATCATATTTTAATGGTACCTTATTTTCAGTTTTGTTATATTTTCCCTTTTAAAATAAGGTATGCATTACAATGAACTTTGTAACAAATTGTTAAATTATTACTATGACCATGTATGGATTTGCTAGGTATATTCATCTTTCTCAACACTATGTCCAAACAGCAATCATTAGAGCAGATTCCATTTTGCAATTGAAAATAATTATTTTGAAAAATTATGCTGCGGTGTAGAGAGCTGCATGGGCACCAAAACAAAAGTATTTAAATGCTACAAATTAATTATTCATAGTCATTAGCTTTGTTAATGAACTGTTTCCAGCACTGAAATCTTTTCCATGGGATAATGGTTAAAATTTTGAAATCCTAATCGCTGTTTATTTGCTGTTCTTTGTAGAGCACATTATTCATCAGAAAATCTAATGAATGGGAACGTAATTTTAAAATATAATCTTTGGCTTTTAAAATGAATATACAGAAACTTTAGAATATTTCAAATAATTAAATTGATGCATTTATAAGTATAGAAAGTAACATTTTCTAGTGTTTGTGTTATGTATGCAAAAATTACGTTTGCTTGTTCTTGTTGTGCGAAAACTAACTTAAAACAGATAATATTTTTCCTTATGTGTTGATGAATTATTAATAAGACTTTATTAATAATTAATCTTTTTGTTTCTTATAGGCTCTTGGGATACTAAAATGTTTACTCCTGAAGAAATTACTAGAACTGGCCTAGTCTGCCTAGAAAAGGAGATTAAAAATCCAGTAACTCAAGTGTGTGGCATGGTTGTTCTCATAGATCTCAAAGGGTTTTCGTGGTCTCATATGTCTCAGATTACTCTGAAAAGTCTCAAGTGCTTTATCGACACTGTTCAGGTGATATAGGTTTCTTTTAATCCGCATATAAAAACATAATTTTCAGAAATTATATAAAGGAGCCACGCTTAAAACAACCGTTAAGCAATATATAAATTTTTTGACTTTATGTAATATTACCGAACACAAAATTGCATCAAGCGGTTGCCAAAACTAAGGGGAATGTATGCACATTTGTCTAGTTTTGTACAATATGAGATTATACAGTGTAAGGATTATGTTAATTTTATTAACAGTTAAATTTCCTTTCCTATCGCTTCTTAATTTCAACTTACCATTTCCGGCGGGAACGTAGTTTTAGAATCACGTCTGAATACTAATGAGGAAAAGAGGTATTTAACCGCGAGGTTCTACTGTCTTAGAGATACAAGATATTCTGGCTAGCACGCGTCCGCCTTTTTAGGCTACTCTTTCTTAAGCTATTATTACGCTCGGCCGTACTTTAGACCCTTCATACTTCGCAGTCAATTAGCGTTAAGGGCCCAACTCCGTTAGAATCTTGATAGCTTCGGCTACATCTTTTTAATTAAGATTAGTTAAATTTTAATTCTTAGTTTCCTAAGTTCACGAGCGTCGGCTTTATTGTAAAACTCCAAGACGGAGTTCTGTTAAATCTTATTTGAATTAAAAAAAGGGTCTTTTAATCCTTTCCAAGTTTAATTATTGTCTCACGAACTCAAGCGATTATTCGCTTACTAGTTCTTAAGATTCTTCACATGCAACTGTAACTTAAACACACAGTGCAGAATCTTTGCAACAGAAATAAGGGAATTATGGTTGAAGTTACGGAATTATGGAAAAAAATAATTGGAACAGCATCCTGAAACTAATACCTTACTCTAAATGTTGCGAAAATGAAACATTAGCAAAACCTTTCATGCAGAATAATTTTTTCTTGCTAAAGACAAGTGTAACATTTAAAACTTTCGTATTTGTGCACCTATTTACTTTCTAATTGCTATAATGTATTTGGCAATCGATGTACTAAATCCTGTTAGAAGCGTATTTTATCTCTTTACCACTATTGTATAAAGCAGCACTTGTTGCAAATGTTAAGTAAGGATAAGTAATTTTTAAATGACTGACATTCTTAGGCATTTTGGTAATATCAAAGATTTTGTAAAAATTATGCCTTGTCTATGGATAATAAAGTTTTGTTGTGCTTCAGATCTGTAACTGTACCAGATAGAATTTTATGGTTAACTAATGTAAGTGAAAACAAATTATACGTCTTTAAGAAATTAATAAATAAAAAAACAGCAATGAATTTTAATGCAAGTAAATTAAACCATTAATGAGAAAAGTAAATAAAAAGAATGAAGAATTAAGTGTTAAAGTACCATACATAAATAAATATTTTAGTATACATAGAAAAACAAAAATGCAGTAGTATGTATATCCCTCAAAAAATACAGTTATTAGTTTCTTAAAAGTACCAAATAAAAGTGCGTACTTATTTTTTATGAATTATTATACTACAGAATCCAGTTGCTTTGAGAATTACATGAAATTGTAAATGAAAATTATTTATCATTAATGACACTATTTCTGGATTCTATTTGTGATGTATAAATTTTTCCTCTGAGTGATTAATTCGTTCTAATATTCAATAGTGTTTAGTAATTGCACATGCATTACTTTCATGTTTTTAAGATCCTCTTGCGAGTAATATTTAAATGACTAATTAAGTTAATGCAAACTTTACTAAAAAATTGCTATATTACTTAAAATATTACGCTGTTACTTGTTACTCAGTCTAATCTTACATAAACATTGTAAAGAACGCTCCTGAACTCTCTACTAGAAAGACCTATGATGCTCTTGACTAGAGAGAACGTCGTTAGCAAACTCCTCACACTACGAGTACTATAATTCATTTTAACACCTTATTTAAAGAACTGTGAATGGCAACGACTTAACTGAGAATTACGCATGCGTAAAGAGATGAGATTTCGGTGAGACGCCTGTCAGAGAAGAGAGAGTTTGGGAAGCTCCGCCAGCGAGATGAGGTGTGGAGACTTTGTTTGTCGAGTGATGACGAGTACCATCTTCGTTAACGTCTCTGATCGTGTCACCAGCTCGGATATCTACTAAAGTTTTCTAAATGTATTAATGTTGTATCTGTGATATGTTGTGTTATTAAAAAGTGATGCATCACCACTATCAGTGTTGATTCCGTTCCCACTGAAGCATCCACGACGTCACAGACGAAAAGAAATAAAAAAATTGGAGGTTCCACCGAGATTTGTTTGACAAGAGACCAGGTATGTGTTCTCCACAATATTCATTTCCAGGCCTGAAGTGTATAATGTAGTTATTTATTACTTATTCGGGAAATCAATTCCCAAAGCAGAAGTAGCACATCAGTGCATAAGAGTTTTAAACACTCAATGTGTTTGGTTTATAGTATATCTAACAAGATATTTTCCTTTTGTGGTATATTCGGGAAAACATTTTCCCATTAACACGTAGCACATCAGTGCATTTTATAGCACGTCAGTGCATAAGAGTTTTTTAAAACAATCAAAGTGTTGCATTTATATATCTAACGAGATATTTTTTCTTTTGTATGATAATGGGAAAAATCCATTCCCGTAAATAAACAGCACATCAGTGTATTTATGTTTAACGTTTCGCTATAAATTGGTGTGATAGAATCTGAACTGTTTATTTTGTGTATATGTGAAAGCACATCAGTGCAATATTGCAATTTTCATTTCTAAGTCATTAGAAGAAAATTTATGTTAAATTCTTGTGAAAGAAATAAGTTGTTGAATATATTAAAAACTTGTTACTTTTGTTTTCTCATGAAAGCACACCAGTGCTGTATTTTAATAGGATGTGTATTTTCTGAGAAGTAGAATGTTAAATTTTATCATTTCATTTTACATTTTAAAGCTTTGAGCAGTAAAGAAAAGTTCTAATAGTGTTCTGATTTAAACCTGCGCCTATCGAATTTACGTAGTATTTGCGTTGGCCATGTGGTTGCTAACGGAAGTATCTGAAACGATAGTTAATTAAAGGTGTTTATATTTATTGGCGCCACTCTGGTTTTTTTTCTGTCTGGCTGTACTAAATGAAAAGAATTTGTTATTATTTTTTTATACGAAGTATTCAGTAAGGTTGTTTATTCGTTTTATGTTTGAATGGAAATAAATCCAAAATGATTAATGCTTTTATTAACCTTTTATTTTTATTTGCCTAATTTTGTAAGAAAGAAGAAAGTGTTTTTTATGTGTATGATATATTTTTATGTGGTCTGATATATTTTTATGTGTATTATTTGTGAATAACTATTTGAGTTCTTATTTGTTTTGAGCAATTACTTTTGTGAAAATGGCATTTTTGGGAAAAGCTAAGAAAAGGGATCTATTCCTTGTCGCTTCAGAACTTGGGGAAATAGCTTTAGAAGATATGAAAGTGATAGATTTAAAACAATTAATAACGAATAGTAAAAATTATGAGGAAGAATTTGTTAAAAATTTGTTAGAAAGTATTATGACTGATAGGATAGAAAAGGAAAACTTAGAGAAGCAAACAAGAGCGAAAGAATTACAGTTAGAACAGGAAGCTAGGGAGAGGGAATTTCAGATACTACAACAAAATAAAGAAATTGAAAAGCAACAGTTAGAACTAGAATGCCTTAAAGCAAAACAGAACACTGAATCTGCTAAACCTGGAGGTGAAACGGTATTTAATCAGAATTTTCAGAAACTAATGCCCAAGTTTAATTTAAAAACTGATGATATCAGTTTATTCTTAGAACTTTTTGAGAGGCAAGCTAAAGTTCTAAAATTGCCCACGGATCAATGGGTGTCATATCTCATTGGTGTCCTTCCGGTTGAGGTAAATAATATAATTGCTAGGGAACCTGAAGAACAGGCTAGAGATTACCAACATATTAAAAAATTACTACTTAAAAGATTTAAATTAAGTGCGGAGAAGTTTCGGCAACTTCTTGTTAAGACTCAGAAAAATTCGGATTCTACGTGGTACGATTTTTATCACGAAATTAAGACATTTTTAGATGGGTGGCTCAAGGGATTAAAAATCGAAACATTTGAGCAACTCAAGGATTTAATGTTGGTAGATCAGATTAAAAGGCGCACGCCTAATGAGTTTAAGGAACATTTTATAGATGAATGGGCCACGATCACTTCACCAAAACAGTTGGTGGGTAAAATAGAGGAATTTGAAGATGCGAAAAAGACGATGGTTGGGAAAACGAAATTGGGTGAAATGAAAACGAAAATATCAGGTAGACAAATGGGTGTTTTTCAGTCCACTGGTAACGTTTTCAAAAATAAAAAAAAACCCTCAAGGCACACAATTTAAAAAAGATGATGATGCACGCAATGTTGGGAAAAAGTCGGACTCGAATTTTGATAGGAGAAAAAGACTCCAGTGCTATGAATGTGGATCTTTTGACCATTTACGTCCTCAGTGCCCTAATTTTAAAACTAAAAAGGCAGATTTGTATCGGATAAGCGGGAGATCAGAAAAGAATCTGTTAGATCCCTATACGTTAAATGGAAGAGTAAATGGTTTTGAAGTACCTATTCTAAGAGATACAGGAGCAACGGTAGATATTATTTGTCAGAAATATGTAGACAGAGATAGAATGAAGGGAGAACACGTGTGGGTTCGACATTTGTTGGATGATCATATGACTTGTTTACCTGTTGCTGAAGTAGATATTGAATGCGATTTGGGTACAGTAACCACCAAAGCAGCTGTTATAGGAGACCACTTAGACCAAGGGCGATATATATTAGGCAACCAGACAGCGGCTCTTTTCAGAGGAACTGAGAAAAATTATTCGTCGTATGTCGGGAATGTTAATGCGGTCGTTACTCGATCTCAAGCACGGCAATTTAAGGAAGCGGAAAATTTAAGTGAGACGAACCAAAATTCTGAGCAGAATGAGTTAGAATTGGAAGAGGAGGACGATGCTCATGAGAAGTCTGAAAACAGAGATATTACCTCCTGTCAACCTTTGTGTCCCCACAAGTCCTGCGATTCAAATAGACTCAAGTACTTTTATTGATGAACAACAAAAAAGTAAAGAACTTGCGCCTTTATTAGAACTAGTAAAAAGCGGAACAAGTTATGGGATTAAAAATGGGGTTTTAGTAAAAAAGAAGGTAAATAAGTTAGGAGGAGAAGAACATTTAATTGTTGTCCCAGAAAACCTCAGAGAGCAAATTAAAGCAACTTGTCATGAAGGAACTTCAGGTCACTTAGGAGTGCTGAAAACAAAAGACCGGTTACTAAGATATTTTTTCTGGCCAAATTGTTATAAAGACATTGAGGAATTCGTTAAAACATGCGACTCCTGTCAACGTGTAGGAAAAGCAAGTGACAAAAGAAAAGCACCGTTGGTAATAGTACCTGTGATATCTGAAGTCTTTAGTAAGGTTAATGTAGATGCTTGCGGGCCTATGCCTACATCTACTGAAGGTAATAAATATCTTATTACAGTTATGTGCTTAGCATCTAAATATCCTGACGCCGTCCCGGTACCGGATATAACGTCGAAATCTGTTGTAAGTGCACTCTTGCAGGTATTTAGTCGGATGGGTTTTCCAAGGGAGGTTCAAACTGATCAAGGAAAATCTTTCATGAGTCGCTTAACCGTTGAATTTTTGAAGAGGTTTGGTATAAAAATTTCCAGAAGTTCGGTTTACCACCCCCAGAGCAATCCTGTAGAACGGTTCCATAGGTCAATAAAAAGGGTCTTAAAGGTATTATGTATTGAAGCTGCCCCAAATTGGGAAGTACAATTACCTGCCGCTCTCTTTGCCCTGCGAACAGTAACGCATGATAGTACAGGATTTAGTCCAGCTGAATTAGTGTACGGGACCAACCTCAGAACACCTGTCGCATTATTGTATGAGAAATGGTTAGATCCTCAGGAAAAAGAAGATACCGTAATAGAATATGTTTTCGAATTAATCAATAGGTTAAAGAAAAGTAGAGAATTAGCTACAGAGAAAATGGAAGAGGTGAGAGACAAAAGGAAGAAATGGTATGACAAAAATGCCGTGAAAAGGGAATTCCAGCAAGGAGATTCTGTATTAGTATTAGCAGTGAACCAACCCCATAAACTCGCTCCTCAATGGAAAGGGCCGGGAAAAATAGAGAAAAGATTATCAGAAACAAACTATGTGGTTAGTTTTGAAGGGAATCAGGAAGGGAATAAAGTGTATCACATCAATATGTTAAAACCTTATCATAAGAGACCTGAACTTTTGAATATGGTGCTCCTTGACAACGAGGAGATAGTTGAACCCTCGGAATTAGAGGAGGATTTTCCTTATATGTTAACCGACCCCAATGTGTTTGATTTTAATGAAATAATAGCAAAAGATAATCTTAAAGAAAGACTTAGTGATGAACAAATCCTGCAGTTGGGAAAGTTGTTGGTAAAGTTTTCTGCTATATTTTCGAATATTCCAGGGAAAACAAATTTAGTCGAACATGATATCGAACTAATCAGTGACAAACGCGTACAGCATAAGCCTTATAGAATGACAAATCGACAGAACGAAATTCTTAAAGTCGAGATTGAAAAAATGTTAAAATACAAGATTATTGAACCAGGACCCTCTGAGTATACTTCACCCATGATCCTTGTTGAAGCACCAGGTAGGGATCCTAGGCCGTGTATTGATTACAGAAAGTTAAACGAAATAACGCGTACTGAGTTCTATCCGATCCCCAATATAGAGCAACGTGTTGAAACTGTTGCAGCAGCCAAATTTATCACCTTGATAGACTTAACTAAAGGTTATTGGCAAATTCCGCTGACCCCTAGGGCTCAGAAAATTGCTGCATTTGCTACAAATTTTGGCGTATATAGGCCTTTGCGCATGCCATTTGGGCTTAAAAATGCTCCTTATTATTTTAGTAAAATGATGAGCGAAATATTGTGCGGATGTGAGAAATATGCTACCCCTTATTTAGATGATATTGCTATTTTTTCTGAAACGTGGGAGGAACATTTACAACATTTACATGAAATTTTAGAAAGAATAAGAAAAGCCAATTTAACTATTAAACCCTCTAAGTGCAAGTTTGCACAAGAAGAAGTGCAATATCTCGGTCACATAGTAGGTCGAGGAAAACGTTCTCCAGCAGAACTAAAAATCGAAGCGGTTCAAAATTTTCCTGTTCCCACAACTAAAACTGAGATTAGAGCTTTCTTAGGGTTAGCTGGATACTACAGACAATATATACCTATGTTTTCTGCTATAGCCGCACCTTTGACAGATTTGTTAAAAGGGAATAACAAAAAGGGTAAAATTGTTTGGAATGATGAATGTAATGAATCATTCAAATCGTTAAAAGAAAAGCTATCTAGTAGGCCTGTGCTACATGCACCCGATTTTTCTAAACCATTTATACTACAGACAGACGCGTCAGATCAAGGATATGGTGTTGTTTTAGCCCAGAAAGGATGATAAAGGAAAAGAACATCCCATATTGTATCTCAGTAAAAAATTTACTGATAGTGAGCGGAAGTATTCCACCACTGAAAAAGAGTGTGCCGCAATTCTGTATGGAATAAAAAAACTTGAAAGGGTATATAGATGGGCAGACTAAATTTTCAATTCAAACGGACCATAATCCCCTAGTATGGCTAAAAAATAATGCAGGTAGAAATGGTCGATTATTACGCTGGGCCTTAGCCTTGCAATCTTATAATTTTACGATACATCATAAAAAGGGAAGTGACAACTTAAATGTAGACTGCTTAAGTAGAAACTCTGTACATGCCAGTTAAATAGACTAGTTATCATTTCTTTTAAGTTGTCTTGTTATTTGATTATGTATATTGTATTTTTTTTAATTCATACTATATAGTAAATTGTTAGCTTTATTCTTAAAGACAAAACTTTTTGTTTTGGTTTTTCATATATTGTATGTGTATTTTTAAATGTGTTTTTTTTTTTTTTATGATGGCCTGGTTATGAGAGTGGAGAGCCTTTGTAACAGTGTAGTTTAAAATTAACTGGTAAAATGTTGAACAATCTGTATTGAAACCAGAAACTGTGAACTGTGAAGGTTTACTTCTCCTGTGTCCGGAGAAACAAAAACTGGAGGCGGAAGGTGTTTGTTTGTAGCGAACGCCTGCCTGAACTTGTATTTTATCCCGTAGGAACTTGAAAAAAAAGTTTTGTTTCCTCTGTGTCCGAGGAAAACAAAATCTGGAGGCGGAAGGAGTTAGTCTGTAAAGAACGCTCCTGAACTCTCTACTAGAAAGACCTATGATGCTCTTGACTAGAGAGAACGTCGTTAGCAAATTCCTCACACTACGAGTACTATAATTCATTTTAACACCTTATTTAAAGAACTGTGAATGGCAACGACTTAACTGAGAATTACGCATGCGTAAAGAGATGAGATTTCGGGTGAGACGCCTGTCAGAGAGAGAGAGTTTGGGAAGCTCCGCCAGCGAGATGAGGTGTGGAGACTTTGTTTGTCGAGTGATGACGAGTACCATCTTCGTTAACGTCTCTGATCGTGTCACCAGCTCGGATATCTACTAAAGTTTTCTAAATGTATTAATGTTGTATCTGTGATATGTTGTGTTATTAAGAAGTGATGCATCACCACTATCAGTGTTGATTCTGTTCCCACTGAAGCATCCACGACGTCACAGACATTTACTTATTCTTTTCCACTTCACATAAACTGTCTTGCCTCCAAATGTCATTCTAAAATATACTTTTAGAATTATCATATTCTGCGTTATTTAAATCTTTAAGTTGAATAAAAATGATATTTCAATAAAAATCTTTATCTTGCAAATAGGATGGCTTACCAGTGCGACATAAGGCAATGCATATTATCAACAATCCCAGTATATTTGGTACAATATTCAACACCGTAAAACCCTTTTTAAGTGAAAAAATAAAAAAGAGGGTAAGTATTTATGTTTCCCAGCTTTAAATCAGTACTTTATAATAAATACAATTTTTCTTCACTCTTTTCCGGTTTAAATTATGTTTATTTACAACACATTTTTGCATTAAAATCCTGCAATATAAATGTATTAATGTGATGTATTTATTATTAACCTTTCTGAAAAACTTTTTGCATGTAAGATCACGTTATACATCAGAAAGAAAAGAAGAAAAATTATGTTCTCAAATTTAATTACGCTTAAGTAGGGAAGTCAGTTACTTTCATGTACATTGCAAAAAGGTTACTGTCCCTCACCATTGGACCGAACGAAGTGCGCAAGATGACTATGTATCGGACTAGCAGATTCCAAGGCTTCCGGATCAATTCTATATTTTTTTTCCTTCTCAGTTATTAAACTTAAAGGTGATACATTTAAAAGTTCTTAGCTAGGAAATTTAAACGGTATTAATTGCTACATTTATAAATTAGATTATTAATTACAAAATTACGCTGCTATTAATTAATTATAAAAATTTTATTCTTAAATGCAATACAAAAATGATTAAATAATTCAGAAAAAAAATTAATATAACAAAGCAAAATAAATATTTAACCTCAAGGATTAGGATTAGAATTATTTAGAATATAGCAAAGCACTCAAAAGGTAAGACACAATAACACGCCGAATAAATACTAATTCAGAAGTCAAACAACAAAAATCAGCGTTATATTTTCAAAATTTTCTAAGGACTAGTTTCGATGGCTTTACCGAACCACCATCCTCAGCTGCAAAACCGCAAAAAAATGTCACTCAAAAGTTATCTGTCAAAGAAAAAATAATCCTTTGTGGAAGGCCTTTTTAATGGAAATTGCTTTTATATAAACATTACGCAAGGCGGAAGACCACGAAAACTCTCACGCACCGAACCCGTTCACCAGTATTCGATCGAGCTACCAGTATTCAGCGAGTGTACCGGCCAGTCACTCGTAAATTGTCTGACTACAGAAGCTATAATCTTGAGAATAAACATACATATATCGTTCATCTGTACAGCTGACGGCTGCAATTCGAAAGGAGATCCTTTGACTTCCCTTTGAGATCCTTTGACTTATGATTAGCGCATACCAACATGGATTTCTAGCTAGCAACTCTGTTGAACGAGTCAAAGTCTTCGAGGAGAATGCCGACTAAGATTGCATTAACGGTGATCAAACATTAGTATTTTTAACTGCTTGAAAAAGAGGGACCCATAAAAGTTTCCACTAAAGGATCATTCTACTTCCAAGATTGGATCTCTCCTTATTTTATCTTTTATAAATTATGCTTAATGATGTTAGATCTAAGTATAACAAACTAAATAGCTTTAAATATACAGGGAAAATATTCAGCAGTTAGTTATTTGCTTAATTTAAAATGCTGTGGAAATTTTTAACTTTTAATATCTGTTAACCGTTCAGTATTTTGTTATTACTACTTCATAAGGACTGAGAGAGTCCAGTGAACATAATAAATATCAAAACATATAAAACAATAAATAAAAATAATTTTTCGAAAATCCATTTAAGGTAGTTTACAAATATGAATTTTTTTTTCTCACCATGTTCGGAATAAAAGATAAAAGTACTATTTTAAAGAATAAAGTTTTGTATTGTGAGAAAAGTACAGAAAGTTTGTATTATGAGAAAATTACAGCAAGCATACAGAAAATTTTCCGATAACGACAAAAGTTGTTAATTTGATTATTCATTATCATATTTTATTAATATACAGCAGTATTTAAAATTTTGTGCAGAATTATGCAAGAGATTTTTAAATAAATCTTTGTGCTAACGATATTTTGTTAGCATTGTGCTTTGTTGTATTCGATTTAACTAAACATAAAATGGATTCAGAAGAGATTTATTCTTGACTTCTTTACATACATGTATATGTATGCGTCTGCTATAATATCTAGTTGTGCATCTCATTTTTTATTGCAATTGGCAATATCAAACATTATATAAAGTACTTACCTGGCCTTTACTTTCGAAATGGTTAGTCGTAGTCATATACTTCCAGTTACAGAAGTGCTTTAAATGACGAAAATATTCATTTTTTGACAATGTCAAATTTTAAAAAAAAATTCATTTTCAGCAAATAACGAAATCTAACCACATATATAATAAGGATTATATAGGTAGTTCGTGTAACAAAAAATATCTAACAATGCTTAATATCAATTTATTGTTGCAGCAAGAAATGTATCTAATTTAATAAGCCTTACAAAGAAGTCGTGTGACACTAGATTTTTTATTTATGATATGATGGCTAGAGACAGTTTTAGATTTATTTCAGATATTGTCTGTTTACTGTATATAACCATAAGAAAGCTAAAGCACTGCGACAAATTTTCAATGGTTTGCAACATTGTTAACTCTTTATCTTGAGCATTTGTCTATATTCTATCGTGTACTAGAAAATTTTTGTTATCGACTGTCCATATCTGGCGATGTTGGGTAGATGTTTATCTTTATCTTTTTTATCTTGTTCATAACGATAATGACCTCGAAACTAATAGATAATCAAAATTTCCCTGGGTATAGTTTCCCTAATTATTTGTTTAAATATATAATAAAAAATTACTCCGTAAATATGTTTACAAAATTTTAATTTTTCCTTTTCTTGCTAGCTCTCTGCCCGTTTAGCAAGATTTTCTGTAACTGAACGTTTTTGATTTAGAATTTCAATCCCATCTAAGAAAAAAATGTAACCGAATGAGTAAAATTTCTTACGATGAGAAATTTAAGCTATTGATCTGTAATGAAAAGATAAATTGAATGCATTTAAAGTACACTCTTTTGCTAAAAAATCGAAGCACCATGAAGGAAGTGGTTGTTTTCGGTGAAATTGAATATATGCATAGTTCATACACAGATAATAAAATAATTAAAAAATCAAGACCATAGTACCTGTTCACGGCTCACAATCACCCATTGAGTGTTCAAATTAGTAGTTGGTTGAACTTCCCCTGGCGGCAATGCATGCTTGAATTCGTCGAGGCAAGGAGTGGTAGAGGTTCCTAATGTCATCCTGCGACACATTCTGCCAAGCATTCATCAGTTGTCGCCCAGATGAGCATAGAGCACAAAGATATCTTCCCTATAGTTTGCAACAGGCAGTGAACCTCTATCAGACATGAAGGCTTTGCGCGCCTGTCGAATATGATGCCTGCCAGTATCATCAAACCTCCGCTGCCACACTGGTCTCTTTTTCGAGAAAAGATAGCGAATATATGCTTCTCTCCAAATGAAGATACGTCAAGAATCAGTGGTTGGACTAGATGGGATTCATCTGTGAAGAGAACTGTTCTCCACTTATGCTTGGTCTAAAGTCGCTTGATCTCAACACCATGATTTCTTGTGCGCAGAAGTGAACAGCAAACTTACCTGCAGATAGACACGATAGATAGACAAGCCATAAGTTCGGCTTCTCAGGCGTATCGTTAACTCTCAGTTCATTTTTATGGGAAAACAACGCTTGTACACATAGAGTTAATCTTGTGGATGGTTTTCTGGAATGTGAGGATATTAACTGGATGGTTTGGCCAGCTAGATCTCCAAATCTAGAACATGCCTAGGATACTCTTGGAAGGGCAATTAAAATTTGCCTTCTTCTTTGAAACTTCTAGGACCTGAAACAGCTTTTTGCTAGAACAGAACCAAATGCCATAGAGATTCACAAATCCCTTCATTTCCAGGATAAAATCACATTAAGAAAGCTGTATGATTCTTATAGGGAACCATAGCCCCTTACTGGCTTTTTTTTTATCTTTCAAACTCTGTTTTTGACCTTCCTGCGCCGATGAATCTTACGCACGATCATTCATGTATACTATGACTGTTATCCAGCGTATTTTTTGTATTATTTTAACCTATGCCCATACCCAATTTCGTTAACTCTATCCATCCTTTTTAAAGATAATTAAAAAAAATGTGAAAAATCTAGTAATTTTCAACACTAGAGTAAATAAATGAGCTATTAAATTACTCCATTTCGAACATTCTTTCCTTATAAATATTTAATTTATCTGTTAATTAACTTCCCTTTCCTTTACTTAGGTATATTTCTATGGAGATGGCCTGAGTAGTTTGCATCAGTTCCTTCCTCCAGAAATGCTACCTGAAGAATTTGGTGGAACACAAGGTCCATTTGGAAATGAAAGATTTTATCAGAGTTTACTAGATAGTGAAGAAGAATATAAAAAGTGTCAACAGTACGGATATGATGCCGTCAAAATGTAAAAAACAAAATGATTACTAAACTATATGTATATTTAGAATCAACTATATTTTAATCATATTCTTTCGAACATACTAAAGAAAGTTCCAAAATATTTATATAAACTGATCTTCTTATTCTAATTTTCCGATGACTTTAAATGACTATATCATCTTGTAAATATGTAATAATACTCTAAATTAATTTCGCTATGTTATTACCTCAATAACCAGAAACTTTTATAATAGTAATTGGATGGAATGTACTGAATGTGCCATTTTGTTATTATTCCAGGTCTTTCTAGCAAGAACTGTATATAACCATTGATTACATAGAAAGATATCTATGTAAATATAACTAACTCAAACTATTACAAAATTTCACTTTCATTAAAAAATCTTTTAATATGTATATTTTGCATTCTGTATATAATAAATTATATATTTCTAAGTGTTTTTCTTTCTTCTTTATGATTTTACGAAAATAAAAAACTTAGTAAATCTTTTACAAGCAATATTGCAGACTTTAAGTTTTACAAGCAATATGAAAAAATATCATAATTCTTTTTTCTAAAAAATTTTATTATTTGTAAGACATAATTAAATGAATGTAAGATTACAAATTTCTACTAGAACTTCAATACTCATTTAGTTGAGGTCGTTGCTTTCAACTATCTGTTTCTAGATGTGTCTCTTTTCTGTATAGTGATAATTTAAAGGAAAACATCTAACATAAAAGTTTATTCTTAAAATCAGAAAAAAAGTGCTAACTGAAATTACAAAGCAGTTTTCTCACGTCCACAAAAGTAAACCAACACAGCCAATCTTAGACCCCCAAATTCTTACACCTGCAATAAATTATATCTATAATAACGAAATGTTATATTTCAAAAAATATGCACTCACCAAACACCAGCTGTAGGTGTAACTCAACAACTTGTTTCAACAGTTGCAAGGAGTCGCTTTACAACAGACAAGGATGCTGCCAATGAAAGCTAACTTAAACTACTTACGCTTAGTTTTATCTACATTCTCCCGAAGGCCAGCGAAGGCTATTCATTATAATGAATAGCCATTTAAAAATGTAGCTTTACACAATTATATTATATTAATACTATTTAAGTAAATTTTCTTAGTTCAAAAAATGCAGTACTTTTTTTTTTTATATTAAGTGTTTTGGAATAAAACGAAGATCATTTGTTAATTTTCAAAATATCTTATAGCCCACAAGGAATATTACAAGATGAAGCTCAAATTTTGTGTTAAAAAGACTTCATACAAGTTAAGTACTACCTATAAAATTTGTTATTATAATTATTTAAAACAACGACACTTCTTGTTATTAATAAGAAAAATAAAATTTATCGTTCTAGTTATACGAGTTGTATTTTAAAATAATGACACATGAGTAAATAAAGATTGAAACCAACATTTTTGAACGTATAAAAGAACTTAAAAAAGACTTACTATTTTGATATTAAATGAAAAGCATACAACTAGAATTTATGGCATAAAATATCGTTAATACGCGGTTTCTGTTTAATGCCAATAATCAATTTTGATTGCATGTTCCTCAAATGAATATGAAGTATATACTTCATACATTTCTTTCAAACAAATGGTTCTTTACATTTGTTAATATATTACATAGTCTCCTGTATACGATAAACTGAAGACAAACTGCATTTCGGAGAACATAAGTAAATGTCGATATTGATAATTATTATATCATTTTCTGATACACCTTAGCGCAATCTAGACAATAACGTATGATTAACGTGATTATTAAAAATATATAATTTGGCTATCGGACTAAAATATTTTATGAACTTAATAAATGAAGAAGTTACACTTTTAGCTCTTATTACAGTAAAACTATTTTTATGGAAAACGGTAGTTAATCATTTCTGAGTAATTAATTTTTTCCTTTTGTTAGCGTGGTATAATTTACCATATAGGCTTGATTTGGCGGTTATGATATCGCATTTTTGCGTAAGTTATCACATTCCTAAACTGTTTGAAAGATTTTTTTTACTTCTTGTCTACGCAGCTACTGCTATTTAACAAAAATCGCCAAGGTAGCAATAAAATATCTTTTTCCTTTTCATTCCCTATTGAGATGAATTTCATAATCTCTCACTTTACTGAAATAAATCCAAAAATAGGTTCTTCCAAATGAATTAATTTTTTTATTTTACTAACAAATTTTATTCAGGCATTAAATAGCCCAAATATAAAACTTCGCTACCTTAATCAAAGCTTCTCGTACAGCTTTTTATTAAATCCTTCGAATGTTATAATGTAGCCATTCCGAAAATGCATAACTCTTTTATCATCTATGAAAAGTTATTTTCATTTTAAATTCACAGAATTATAGACACGAACTTATCGCTTGAAGAAGACCATCCTTCGCTTTCAGGGACTATGCTGCTGATATGCTGAACTTTTCAGAAGTCTAAACAACAAAAATCAGTGTTATACCTACAAAATTTTCACAGGACTAGTTTCGATGGTTTTACCGAACCATCATCTTCAGCTGCACAACCGCAAATGAACAAGATAGGAAATAATGATTAGATAAGATAAGAAAGCCTGGACAAGGATAAGCAAGTGGCGCCATCTGTTGGCGAAACCAGAACTAAAACATAATTTCTCTAAAAGCCGAAGGCAAATTTGGATTGGAATTAGAATCGTTAACTAGAACAGAAAGATTTTTATGAATGTGAAATGCCTCTAGAAAATCCAGTTCTCCAATGGAAGATGTTTTTTGAATAATTTTGGCAGCAGAAAAATTGAAAGTGTGATTTTCAGACCAACAATGTTGAGCAACAGAAGACTTCTGTGTTCCTTTTTTCTAACATATGCCTCATGTTCTTTGACGCCGAAATTTTAAGGCTCTCTTAGTTTAGCCAATGTAAATTAAACCACACTGGCAAGGAATCCTATAAATACCCCAGGAATTCATATCCGGAATGGGGTCCTTGAGTAAGAAGTTGGAATTTTATTGATGGGAGAATAAACAACCCGAAAGTTAAATTTCTGCAAAATATGTGCAACTTTATAGCTAATTGATGGAAAGAAGGGAATGACAACAGAATTTTTATAATCTCCTAAAATAAGAGTGTGGCTTTTAGTGGTTGAGATGAGAATTTTTTTAACTGCTTGATTAATAATGTTGGGTGAAAAGCTCCTGTCAATAGCTATTGCTTTTAAATAATTTAGTTCTTCATCAAGGGCTAGTTTGGAGGAGCAAACTTGAAAAGCACGGAAAACATAGGAATAAAATGAAGCTAACTTTTGTTTAGTCGGATGACATGATTTAAAGTGTGGTGGAAGGCAAACCGATGAAGGTTTACGGTAAACTGTAGTACTGAAGTTGGATGTGTTACGTGTGACCAGAATGTCGAGAAACGGACAAACCGTTTAGTTAGCTTCATTTTATTCCTATGTTTTCTGTGCTCTTCAAGTTTGCTCCTCCAAACTAGCCCTTGATGAAGAACTAAATTATTTAAAAGCAATAGCTATTGACAGGGGCTTTTCACCCAACATTATTAATCAAGCAGTAAAAAATTCTCATCTCAACACACTAAAAGCCACACTCTTATTTTAGGAGATTATAAAAATTCTGTTGTCATTCCCTTCTTTCCATCAATTAGCTATAAAGTTGCACATATTTTGCAGAAATTTAACTTTCGGGTTGTTTATTCTCCCATCAATAAAATTCCAACTTCTTTACTCAAGGACCCCATTCCGGATATGAATTCCTGGGGTATTTATAGGATTCCTTGCCAGTGTGGTTTAATTTACATTGGCCAAACTAAGAGAGCCTTAAAATTTCGCGTCAAAGAACATGAGGCATATGTTAGAAAAAGGAAACACAGAAGTCTTCTGTTGCTCAACATTGTTGGTCTGAAAATCACACTTTCAATTTTTCTGCTGCCAAAATTATTCAAAAAACATCTTCCATTGGAGAACTGGATTTTCTAGAGGCATTTCACATTCATAAAAATCTTTCTGTTCTAGTTAACGATCCTAATTCCAATCCAAATTTGCCTTCGGCTTTTAGAGAAATTATGTTTTAGTTCTGGTTTCGCCAACAGATGGCGCCACTTGCTTATTCTTGTCCAGGCTTTCTTATCTTATCTAAACATTATTTCCTATCTTGTTCATTTGCGGTTTTGCAGCTGAAGATGATGGTTCGGTAAAACCATCGAAACTAGTCCTGTGAAAATTTTGTAGGTATAACGCTGATTTTTGTTGTTTAGACTTCTGAATTAGTATTTATTCGGCGTGTTATTGTGTCTTAATTATGCTGAACTTTCTTTCTTTTCGCCATCGACGGAACAGCTGGCCCACTGGGTTAGGTGCTTTTCAGCCTGTTGGATCCAGTCGATGGGATTAAAAATAAATACATGAATAAATATAAATAAAGAGTTTAGTAATGTGTCCTCCGGTGATTGGCCGCTAAACGGCATACATTGAAATAAGAACCAGAACATGGAAAGAAGGTGCATGGTGGGGACTGCTGAGACTAAGCGGAACAAATTTCACTATTACGGTACATGTTAGGCATACAGTTATATTAAGGATGTGCTATAATAATCAGGTACAGATGTAAAGATGATCAAATATATTACAAATTGTGGAATACATTAAATGAGTTCTGGAATAACCATAATATTAAATATAATTAAAATTATCAAAAAAAATACATTAAGTAAATTAATATATGCACGGAACGGGATGCTGACGGAATGGTGTCCAAGGAAAGGAGTCAAGTACTACCATTGACTCCAGGGCTGTCAGCAATGGCTTTTAGCAATGGTAGTGCAGTCTTAAAAATATGCTGAACTATTACATACTGTATAAGGAAGCAATAAGAAAAACCTAGTGAGTGCTAAAAGAAATGCATGCTTTCCCAAGAACAAACAGCAAAGGCACATTTTACCTAATATGATGTATTCCGGCATGACCAAACTGTGATTTGCTAGCCGCATGCAGCTCTTCGATACTTTACCAACAGCTAATCAAGTTCTTGAGGCGCTTTGGTCTCTTAAACGCGATTTGTTTTTCGAACAGTTCGAGGTACGGAATTTAAATATAAATAATTCGCGAGATCTAAAGATTCGAATGTCCAACCTTAGAAAAACCAAAATGTGTTTTATAACCCAGCCCACATCTGAAAAAATAATTCCAATATTTAAAGCTAGATTTGATTTCAGTATGTTTGTCACCTATAACATATGTAAAAAATATGTATAAAACATATGTATAAAAGCTGTGTTGCACGCGCGATATATTTTTTTGAGCACTGACATATTGGAATACCGATATTCTTATCTTTGGCACAGATGTTTCAGACACAGTTTGTGTAAAATGAATTGCATTTTTAAAATTCGCTTGATGCACTTGCATTGAAATGAGCTTTATTTAATATATAGGCTTTGATGT